TTCCAGGTATTAGAAATGAGAATACCTGTACCAACTCCACGTCCAACTGAGCAGGGTGTGTGTGAGAACACTGTGTCAACAGAAAGAGCAGCTGGTGTGACTGTATTTTCTGGGTGGATCCAGGTTTCAGTAAGGGCAAGTGCCTGAATGTCTGACATTTTTGCAAGTGCTTGGATGAATTCAGTTTTATTCACAGCAGATTGACAGTTCCAGAGGCCAAACGCGTGGGTAGAAGAGGCTTTCTTAAGCAGAGACAAGTTGTTAAGATTTTGTTGTCTATGACAGATGTGTCTTTTCCTGTTCCCATGAATGACAGAGATCTCTTTGTAGCACATGTTGCGTTTACCAGATGATCAGAGAGAATAGGCAAAGCAGTAGTCGTGGATCCCTGGGCTCTCTGGCCACGCTGAAGCGTCAGAGCTTGTTCTGCTGGCAGTTTCGGATTCAGACTCTTTTAAGGTTGGATTTTCATGAAAATCCCGCCCCAGATTTTCAGCTTGCAATCAACAGAGGGTGTGACACGCGTCAACTGCCTCTCTTGTTGATGCTCAGAGAATGAAACTTAAGTGCTCAGTCCAAACAAAGCCTGACAACGACCCACTATCAGTATCTACTCAAAGCAAGTTTCGATTCACCCACCTAGCTGACAAGACCTTCCTAGTTTTCAGATCAGAGCTTGTTCAAAGCTTGTCAGTGCTTGTTTGTTTGATATCAAACAAAGATGATGTCTGATGATGTGCTACCTGCCTAAATATGGCAGACAGACAAATGAGTAACTTTGTGTTTAAATTAATGGACAATTAGCAGCATAAGAGCCAGATAGTTCCCCGAGGAGTTGGTGGAACAAACAAAGAGCGAAATATTGGACTAACATTTGTCAGATGGCCAGAAATACAGCCAAAATAAATGCAAATATTTCTCTATTTGATTGAAATGTCCATAGGTATGTTTTTGCTAACACATATGCATATTACACTTTGTCACCATGTTTTTTGAACACTAATATGTGTCCCTAATTTGTCCACAAACCCCCCAATTATGAAAAATCCATCCTCTCTGTCTTTCGCTTGCTCCACTTATTCAGAAAGTGTGTGCTCAGAAAGGCCAAAAAAGTGTAAAGCATCAACTTAATTATAGTTAACCAGTTCGTTCATCATGAAAATCCTTTAAATCAAATGACAACAAATTGGTAAGCATCATTTCAAGTTACGTATTAGTCTTTGTATGAAAAGTAGATTCATAGTAAAATTGCGTTGTTAAACGAAAACAAATTATCTAGTCTAAATGGGGAGTTCTTTCAAATCCATCTTTATTATAAACATGTAACTTTACTTGTATCTTAAACAAAAAAAACTTTTCCCAAATAAATCTAACGAAGAAAGATCTAAATCCATGCTGTGCTTGTATTTGTTATAATGTACTGACTTTAACGCCTGCTGGATGCCTTATTATGGGACTAAAAATAGGACCTTCTGGCCTCTGTGAGATTGGATGTAGCAGCGACTGCTGTGTGTAGAGATGAGACCAGATAACTGAATCCGAGTCACAGAAATTGGCCCATGCTGCTGCTGATGCTGTCACTGAACTGGGTCACTCATTCTGCCTTTTCACATCGAAAACAAAAACCAGGAAACAACACGAGGATAAATCCAACCAAACCTCAGCCTGCTGTTTGTTTGGGAGTATACAGGAGGGTGTGAAAACAGTAAAAAGCATGTGTTTTGGTGTGAATGTGGGCGGTAATGGTGGCTCTGTTGTGCCCTGTGCTCTTGCATTAGCAGTGCAGGCAGTCATGGTCAGTCAAGGGGTGCAATCATGGACTCACAGGATGGTCCGCTTCACTGAGGTCCGCCTGACGACGCTCTCTGCTGAGCTCGGATACACAGGAATTACTGCTGTTTGTCACTAGCTGCAGGGGAATTCAAGTGGGAGACAGCACAGACAATAACCACCAAGGACATGTGTATCTATGCTTTTTAATATAGTCTGACTTCAATGAAAAAATATTTCCATTTCAAACACAGTATGTGATGGTTGAAGTGGGCCTGCATGATAATATATGCCATGTGCAATAACATTGTTCAATACTGCAATAAGGCTAATAGTGTGATTAACAAAAAAGAAAGCATGCATTTTAGAAATAACTCAGTTTCTATTTCTTTCTTCGTTACCTAAGTTTGCAACATGTTACTTCTGAATCCAAAAGGAATCGTGATAATTTTACCACTAAATTGGCCCTGAGGGGAAACTGTAAGCTAGCATTGCTTGTCCCCATAAAATTATATCTTAATTATGTAATATAATCAGACTGTTGTGATGCGTTTGTTACAAATGCTCATATCCTATAAGTGAAGCTTCAAAACACAAGAGGAAAAGGTAGTTTTTTCAAAATAAAACAGGGAAAAACGATTGATCACTTTGAGACGAGACATTTCTACATGAACTTAAATAACTCAGTTATAGAAGCATTTTCTTAATAACAAAATACTTACATTGCAGATAGTTTATAATTCAACTCCATCTTGACAATTATCAAAAAGTGCATCATCATCAGTAAAAATCTGCATCTTCTCCTTCAGTGTACTACACATGTGGCTGAGTTCACCCAGTTTCAAAAAGCATCTATTGTTCAAAAACATCCACATGACTTGCAAAGCATGACTGGTCACTCGGGTCATAAAGTCTGCAAAGTCTGCAAACAACTGATGGTTCTCCACATCTTTTTCTTTTGGAAGTTTGATAAACTGCTCTCCTAAAAACCTTTCAAATGTAATTTAATTGAATTTAGTTTGTTACACTTTTCAGGGGACTGTGTGCAACGACATTGATAAATTATACAAAGAAAAATGAAAAGTTGGTTGCACCAGATTTAGTGAGTCACTAATTTCCATCATAAGTCCACCATAAAAGTGACACAAGACATCACATGACATAAAATGAGTAATTTCGGTCAAAATGAATCTATTAATGATTATATAGAGGAGAGTAAGAAAAGAAGAATTGGGATCGGTCCCTCATTTAGCAGTAGTTGTTTTTCCTTATGGGCTTTAAGTCCCACTGGCAAGAATCTGTGTACCTATTTTGTATCACAAAGAAGTATGTATCACTTTTTAGGATAGAATGCTTTTAAAAGAAGTGCAGAAATATTTAAAAATCACACAGAAATAACACTTACAGTTACAAGATATTTTTTAGACTTTCAGACAAATGAGTATTTAAAATCTGTGTTTTTCTACTCGATTTATTAGCTGGTTTGAATACAATTCAACAAGATGCATTCTTAACAATCTAAAATGAATGTTACCTAAGCCTCTATTGTCTCTCAATGACAGCTCATCTAGTAAATGAGTTTAACTTTGTTAGTGATAATATAACTTAACACCGTACAGAAGATGAAATTCAACAGACGTGTCGCCTGTGTCGAGTTAAAAAGTGGGTTTGAAAGCGAATGTTTTCTTAAATATTGAAACTTGTTGAATGTGTAAAGCCCTGAATATAAGCTGCTAACACAGAAAGCTGAGCTCCACGAGGGCTGACAACCAAGTCTAATTCTTTAGCATACTGAGTTTAATCAAAAGAGACAAGTCCATTTCAATTAAAAGTTTCTGCAGAGCGAAAGAACAAAAGTAGAAATAGGATTGTTGTGGCTGCCTGAGATGAGAAGAGAAAATGTAACAGCAGGCCCAAAACTCAGAATGTATGTGAATATGTGCATGGGCTGGGACTCCCTGTCTGTTTGCATTATTTAATAACCTCACTAAATATATGATTTGGTCAACTTTAAACCTCCAACTTTTTATTCACCTACTGGTTTCACAAGCAGACTTTCAGAACTGCTGCTGATCAAATAAAAAATGTTCAGAATTATGTAAGACACTCAGGTGTTGTAATAATTCTTCATTATTCTAGATGCTGCAGAAGAGGAATATTCATCACCTAAAGGCTTACATCACAGCTCATTGAAGATGAAACGAGCATGATTCATGTGTAGAAAATGAAGATAAATTGCACAATCTGCCTGCAGAGAGACCAGATACCGTGACCAGTCATATGTCACAAGAACCTTACATTGTGTGGCAAAATATCTAAACACAAGGTTTTCCCACATCTCTTCAACTAACCCACATGACCAGATCACATCGTAGCGGCATGCTAGATATGCTGAATCCTGAATTCTAGAGAACCTTATCCTTGAGGACTCTTAACAATGTCAATGTGTTATCTAAGGTCCAGTCCAATCTGCTGTGTGTTTAACCAACATTTATTTATATAAAACTGATGCTTACAACTGCAGCAGCTGTGAGAGCTTGAATAAAGATCCAAAACCTTACTTAACGTGTCCCTAAATCAGCATTCAATAGTCAACATAACACACTATTGTGTCTTTACCAACAGGTTTCAATGTTGCTTCTCCTTTCAGACCTAAATGGGTATATAGATGAGGTAATAAATGTTCACAGTAATATGTCTTAATAGTAGATGTAATACAAATTAAGAAAATACAATAAAACATACAAACAAAGCTGCCATCATAGTGTGTTATAAAACAAATATAAAATGCTTATCTTTACTTTGAATTTCTGAATTCCTTTTTTGAAGTGTGGCTAATAAAGGGGACCTCAAGTTCAATGTTGGCAGTTTAAACACTGATTTAGTGTTAAAATTCCATTTTCTTTATTACTTTATTGATAACTTATTAACTTCCATTACAGTTATATAACTTTTCAATAACTTGGTAACCAGAAGTTGGTTTTGTCAAAGTTTTTTAATGGATAAGACCACCTTAATTCTTAAACTGCATTGTTACAAATTCATTCGGGCATATTGCTGATTATTGCAGATTTTTTTAAAGTCTAAATCTTGCTGGGTGTTCAGTATGTGACCAATGAGAAACACTGGGCACTATGACCCAGCAGATAGCCTGCTCTCTCCATGGAGAGAGAAAGAAGGAAACAAGGCTGTGATCAGTGGTGCTTGTTTGATGTCAGAGTCTGTATAAAAACTGAGACTTTGGGTTGGCTCAACATTCATCCACAGCTGGGGGCCTGAGAAGACACACAAACACACACACACACACACACACACACAGCTCCGGAGAACCTGTGCCCTACATGCGGATTATCTGTGACATCCTCCCATCAGGACGCACTGCTGAGGCTTTTACGCACAAACCTTTTGGATTTTAAAAACCAATTAGAAAGACTTTTTGAGATGACTACAACACGGAAAAGTTTGAAGCAGGATGCATGATTTTTTTTTCCTTTACGAATTGTCTTCTGAAGATCGTAAAACAGGAAAGGCGGAATGGGGAAAATCAGTTTGCTTTTATTTCAGACTGATTGTCCCATTTATCTCACCAGAACGGCGTGCATGATGTGATGTCCATCAAGGGAAATTATAAATTCAAACATCACAGAAAATGACATTAAATATGAGTTAGTGAGTAAAAGTTATGGAGCCAACCCAGCGGCTGAACACCACCAATGACAGTTTTATTACAGCTGCATCCACGGTGGATGAGATCACAGAGAGTCTCGCCTATCAAATAAGCCTGGCGGGGATTCTCTCTGTCATCACACTGGCCACAACTTTATCCAACGCTTTTGTCATCGCGACAATCTCCCAGTCGAAGAAGCTGCAAACTCCTGCGAACTTCCTGATCGCGTCTCTGGCCATCACGGACCTGCTGGTGTCTATCCTGGTGATGCCGATCTGCGTCCTGTACACCGTCATCCACACCTGGACTCTGGGGCAGATCGTGTGCGACATCTGGCTTTCCTCGGACATAACGTGCTGCACGGCCTCCATCCTCCACCTGTGCGTCATCGCTTTGGATAGGTACTGGGCCATCACGGACGCGGTGGAGTACTCCAAAAAGCGCACGCCTGGGCGCGCGGCGGGTATGGTGGCCACAGCCTGGGTCATCGCTATCTCCATCTCCCTTCCGCCGCTCTTCTGGAGGCAGGTGAAGGCGGAGGAGCTAACCAGCTGCAGCGTCAACACGGATCACATCTTCTACACCATCTACTCCACATTTGGGGCTTTCTACATCCCCACCCTGCTGCTGATTGTCCTCTACGGACGGATTTACGTTGAGGCGCGGAAGCGGATCCTGAAGCAGTCCCCGAAAAAAGTGGGGAAGAGACTTACCTCTGCGCACCTGGTCAACAACTCCCCTGGATCCGTAACCTCCACAACCTCACTGCAGTGCGGGAGACACGACCCTCCGTCCAGTGACACCGGCTCCTCAACGAGCGAGAACCAGGTGAAGGTGACGGTGTCTGATGCGCTTTTGGAGAAAAAGCGAATTTCAGCAGCCAGAGAGAGGAAAGCGACTAAGACTCTGGGGATAATTCTCGGCGCTTACATCGTTTGCTGGCTGCCGTTTTTTATTTACACGCTGGTGGTGGCCACATGTGACACGTGCTTTAACCCTGACTTATTTGACTTTTTCACCTGGTTGGGCTACTTGAACTCCCTCATCAACCCGATCATTTACACTATGGCCAACGAGGACTTCAAGAAGGCTTTCCATAAACTCGTGCGCTTCAGATGCTTCGGATGCAGGTCGTGAACTAAGATCCCTCAAGTCTCCAGTTAAAATGTATTTAAGCAGGTTTTTTTTTTTTCACATAAACAGCTACAAATGAATGAAAGTATATGGAGAATACAAACAATATTATTTCTGGGACTCATTGCCTTAAATTCTGTATCAAAATATATTTATAAAACATCTCTAGTCCTTCAATCCCAGGAGTAGACCTGTAATGCAACTTTAAAAGTCCATTCAAATGTCAAGATCAGGAGTGACATTTGGTTAAAAACAACTTTATGCACCCCAAAAATCACTTAAACTTGACACAAAATGCTCCTCTTGGTGAACAAATTGGCCTGCTATATAATTAATTCAGTGATGGCTTGACACTGACACTATTCTGTATGAATTCCTTTTTCTCTGGTACAGTGAATTAAACCAGTGCATTGCACATTATTCCCATGCCACGCTGAACACACATTAATAATTAAGCAACAGAGATCACGAACATCTGAGAGTGAAGTCAAAAATATACAAACCTGGCCGTGCTGAGTGATCCACTTTGCATTGTTTTAAACATGGAAGTTCTGTTTTTAGAGATCGGCAACATGTGTGTGTATCCTGAGAGATGATGACAGTGGGATATATTTTTATTATGGCGCTTGGACCGCTTGCTGCTCCCCTGTATGGTTATCTCTTTTATTTACACTAAAAAAAGAAAACGATTCATATCAGTGTAAAACAAAGAAGCTGTGACTGATATTTACTTAGCAGAACTAAAAGCTGATCAAATGTTCAATTTAGCAGAACAAACAGCACCTTGTCTTGCTGTGTGTGGCTCTGTTTGCCGCTCCATTAAATCTGTATTTCCAGTATGTGACGCTCATGTGTGACAAAGGTTACCATCTTATGATCATAGCCACAGACGTTATAGGCTGCCCTGCAGAGCTATAAAAACAACAATGCTTATGGTGTGTCAGAATTGTGTGAAAATAAAGGTTTATTGTTCTAAGATGTTGTTATGTACAGATTCAGAGGTGCTGTGCAATAAAGGCTTTATCGTATTTATTTAGCAGAATTCTTTGAGTGAGAGTTTTGAATCATGATTTCTGTCAAAAATGTCTCCAAATCAAAAGTAATTATTCTGCAGATGTTCTGACAAAAAAATATTGTGAAGATTCCATATAATGCAACCAGAAATTAGAGGAATCTTTAGTTCCACTAACCTCCTGAGGCGCTTACAGACGTGACAAAGACAGAACACATCCATTTAGATAAATGTATATGCTCTTCCATGTGTTCCTCTTGTGTGTCTCTCTCTCTCTCTAATGACGAGATGAGATGTGTTGTGGCTGAGCTTCTCCTCTCAGTGCTGATCCCCCCATCGTCTTCCTGCCCTTTCTGTCGCTGCTGCTTTCCTGCGAGCGGAGGAGGAGGACACAGGCTGTGTGGTCAACAGCCTGTCACAGTTCAAGAAGTCATGAAAGTGACTTCACACACGCAGAAAAGGGGCTCTCGATGAATACACACATGCAAGCACACACAGAAGCGCACACCCTTCGGCTTTCCATACATGAATGTTCATACGGGCTCTTCATGCATGAAAGATGTGTGCACATGCGTAGGCATTGGAAGCACGACCTGGGCAGGATTTTCTGTGTCAGTGTCAGTATGTGTAAGAAACACAAAGGTGACACTTATTTCAACAGGATACATAATATACACATTTATCTTCCCTCAGGAGGTTTGGAAGAGTTTGATAGTGTAACACTTTATTTGTTTTTGGCATTCAAGAGAAATTTTCTCACTCATGAGCAACTCATAAAACACATGTGAAACACTGATCATGTGATGCTGATAAAGATTACAGATTGAAAAAAAGACACAACCTCAGAAAATCCATGAATGTATATTTCTTTTAATGATAAACTTGTTTGGAAGTAACAAGTGTAGTTAGATTTTATGGGTCCTTTATTTTAAGTGGGCTGCTCTTTTATTCATACAAACCGCTTTTATGTTGAATTTTATGTTTGCACGACTAAGCCCCTGGAGATCAAACATTACATAAAGACACTGTTCATTGCACTTGAACCTGACGCCAACATTACCCACAATACAACTTGATAATAGAAGTAGTGTCATTGATAATTTGGAGCCGCGCTTAAAATGGATAACTATTGCCTCAAGCTACTATAGCCTCCAGCGCTCTAACTCCACAGACCCCAATCAGTTTTTATGTTTTTTTAAACTTGTAGTCTTTTGCCCAAATTGGTGAAGATTCAAGTGACATCACTTGAGAAAATGTATATAATATCACACAGCTAATCTTGAAACCCCTTCTTTTACATTTTGTTACTCCACAAATTCAGTCGTATTCCCTTACATTTATACAAAGTTCATGTTGAACTATGCCACACAGCTTCTTCTAAATGCATGCTGAGGATGATAGAGAACAGCTTTTGCCCGTAATGGATCCGATAAATATTTCATGCGGGGAGGTTGTTGATGTCTAACAAATAGAGTTGACACACTTCACTTTCTGCTTTTGTTGACATGGGATGCATCATTTAAACAAATATACAAATTATACCACCTTTTAAAAAAAAAAATCTGTTATTAATGATTTTCACAGTTCTGCTGTGAAGTGAAGGACATCGCTGACGTAACAGCCTGTGAAAGTGTGCACACGGATAATGAACCTATAAAATATTCCTCTGCTGAACGTAGCATGCTTTATTGTTTCACCCTTTCTGGTTGAAGAAGGTTCACAGCATTCATCACCTGAGAAATGGAGGCACAAGGGCCCATCTGCTGCTATAAATTACCTTACTCAGGTGATAACCATTGACCTTGACAGGAAAGAAAACGAGTCAGCAACTCGACTATTAGGCAACATGGAGCGGGGAGGAGATGGAGGGTGAATAACAATTAGAGGTGGGGTCTGAGATCGTTTAAGTCCTTTTCCAAACAAGAATGTTACCCTTTTGTAAAAAAATCCAACTCTCGTACAGCCTCTTTAAAGTTTGTTGGTACACAAATAAAAAGGCAACAGACGGTTTGATTGTAAAAAACATGTTTTTCTATGTATCCACTTATGTTTTGTTTTCACATTGCCTTTTTTTCAATTATTGACCTTTACATTTTTATCATACAAGGTCTCTCTTCAGAAGAGGTTCATTGTCTCAAAGAGATTATTTATTTATTTAAGGTCACTCACAACAAGGCCCTTGACATGTTAAACCCAGTCAACTGCATTGTTGGCATGTTCATTTCCTGACATAGCGGCCTATGCATTGTGAAAATGTAGACTCAATAGTGAATGACACTATACCATCAATTAGAACAATGAGTTCCAATGTTCTCCCTGCATCAATACCTGGAAACATCATCATACAAAGCTCTAACGGGACCTGGAGGAAAAGGTGGGCTAATTCACTGCCTTATTAATGCCGGCAAACACTAAACACAGTCAAGTGTGGATGAAAATGTCACTTTGAATGTGTGTGTACTAAATCAAAGCTTTCAGTCACGCATGTTCTGTACAGCTGATCTGTTGCCACGAGCACTTTCTCTCCTTCAGATCAACAAAGTGGGTTACTTTAAAGCCTCACAGCACTTTGAATTCACTTCCACAACAGCTCACCTACATGTGTTCTTCTCTGCCATTCAGAATGATTAAAAGTCATTATAAACAGTCTTTGGCTTATAGAAAATGAAAAATAATAAAATGAATGTGACTATACAGGTGATCCAAATGACTGGCTGTGTTTACACTTGTTGGACCCTCCCGGGGGGGGTGCTTGGTGAATCTATCACACTTAACATCCAATCTGGCTTGACAAGCAATATATCATCAGTGGTGAGGGATGTGTGTGTACTGCTGAGGTTTTCAGTTATAATCCGTCCATATATACGCAGAAAGAAAAAGAAGACACCCGTTGACGGGGCCCACAGTTAGTGTGCATAGTGGCCTAGCGTCTTTTTCCTGCTATAGCCATGTAAATACATACCCTTACTGCCCGTGTGAAGTACTGACACTGACGGAGTGACTCTGCATGTGCTGGTGCGTGTTTGCATCATGTGGGCTCATGGAAGTGTGCTCTCAGCTGCAGCAGAGAGAGGATCGGGAGAAGAGGGCATCACACTGGCCTGGATCACATATCTCTCGACCTGATATTGTTATTTAAACAAATATATCCGTTCGGTCAGGAAATTATTAATTAAACAAAGGTCACTGTCTTGAAAACGGGCAAAATGGCAAGTGCTCAAACCTTATTTTAGTTTATGTATGCATGTCCCATGAGCTGCAAGATCCTTTTGTGAATCAGGCCCAGAAAGTTGCTCTCTGGTTTGGCTAGCTATTGCTACGACTTCATGGCCAAATTCGGTGGAAACTTGCCTACTTATCAGACTAACAGGCCTTTTCAAAGCCGGCTTTAAAAATAATGTATTTTCCTTTAAAAAGTTACCTTAATTCGCAATTAGAGCTCCTTAGAGGAAGTTTTGGATTGGCTCTACTTCAGTGCCCCCCGGTGGACAAAAGTACTATCTTCATAATCTCTTCGTAATCTTGTCATGTACATGTGGGGTTTTTTGTTTGTTTAAAATAAATCTTATCTAGCTGCCTTACCAATCAAATGTATCACTCATCAAAAATCTTTTTTTTCATGATAATAAATTTCATGATAATAAAGTTCACTAATAAAAGACTGGTTCAGGTGTATAGTTTATCACTCCGTCTGAAACCTATACCCCCACAGAAGTGGTTCCAGACATTGAAATTAGATTTAAAGAAATAAACAGTTTTTTAGGTTTTAGTCTTGCTTGCTTTTATAAAATGTAAGGAGGAATCAGTATTAATTTCAGTCTGTTTCATGACCATCTAAAAACTCCTCAGAGGAGCTTTAACATCCCAAAAGTAGGTTCTATGTGAATAATTTCAACTGCATATCCTTGATTCACTGAGCACCCATCCTGATACTCTTTGTAACCTTGAAACTTTACCTGATTGAGACTTTCATGACACATAAAGTTTAAAGTAAGGGGTGGTGGGGGGGGGGGGACGAAGCCATTGTCTGATATGGAGCTTGTGGGAGTTTGTTATTCTTGGCTCAAATTTGCTGAACTTGAGATGCCCCCACTCAGAGGTCAAGCATACTCTAAACCTTTTTCAGGCAGAGTGTAGTGACACTATAAAAGAGAAGAGGGCCGTTCTACACAAGAGGTAATTTCATTTCTCTGAAAATGTTTACTTCCTCTTCTCCAGCACTAAGCCTCAAATATATCTGTATCTTGAGAAAGTGTGGTATAAAATTACATTTCTAATTGACAGTTGTTGAGAACATTCAAAATCAGGGCGCACATCATTTGTGGCCACAGCAATGGTCCATCTTATCAGAGGGATATTCCTGCAATAACGAAGTAATATAATGGTGAATAAAATCATCAGATGCAGATGGATTTCTGTTTCATCAAGAGCCATGAAGAATATCAATGAGGGTTTTTCCTCACCTCGGGGGTAATTTACATATTGTCTATTAACCTTTTCACATTAAGCATGAGAAGGTGCATTCAGACGGAAACTTGACTAGCATGTTCGTAATTTCCTATTTTCACAAGCAATAACAACATAAAATGTCACTGAAGCTATTAGCATGAAATTTGCTCGGCTCAGTCTAATTTAGATTTTTTTTCCTGTCTCCAAACCCCAAAGCTTCTTGTCATTTTAATAAAAAACTCCCCCCCCCCCCAAACCCTAACCTGGCTGTAAACCAAGCTTCAGGTGCTGGATCAAGAGTCCTTTATATTATACTAATATCAACCATAAACAGCCACAAACCTTTCCGTTTTTATTTCATCTCCCCTATATGATGGATGGGATAGTAATGTTCTGCCGAAAGGAACGGAAGAATCGTTAGGGAATCGAAGGGAAGAGAGATATTCAGTCTTCTTCAAAAAGTTGACAAATGGACCCATGCTTGAAAAAAAAAGCTATTTTAAATTGAACATTGCCGAGCTGATTATTCTTTTCAGA